AATAAAAATAAATTAGAAACTTATAGCGATTTTATTAAATTTCATTATATGAATCAAAAATTAGCTGACATTGAAACGATAAAAGATAATGTTTTTTCAAAATTTCCCAATATTCTTTTATATTCAAAAGATCTCGATGAAAACAATCCTTGTTACGAAAGTCTTATTATTAATCAAGACATTAATCAATTAAATCATGACAACATTAATCTTTATGACACTATTACTTTAAAAAACTCAAATAAACAAACCACATTTTTAGTAATTTCAAAATTAAATCATTTTGACAATATAACTTACAATGACTTATTTTACTCTTTACAAAAACTCCGGTCTATTCTTTTAACAAATAAGATTTTTACAGTATATCTTAAAAATCCTGTAGAAGAAAATAAAAATATCAAACAAGATTTATTTAACGAATTAATAGAATTTTTATTCTCAAAATCAAATATCAAAATTGTACTTGTAAATAAACCAAAATTTTGTCCTAAAACCCGCGAAGAAATAAAAAATATTTTACAAGAGAATCATTCTTCGTCAGTAGCCGGTCATCCCGGATTTTTAAGAACTTATCATAGAATTAAAGAAAATTATAAGTGGCCAAATATGAAAGGTGATATAAAACACTTTATTAAAAGTTGCCAATCTTGTCAAATTAATAAATTAGTTCATAAAACCCCAAAAGCTCCAATGGAGATAACTACAACGAGCGAACGACCTTTTCAAAGATTAGCTATCGATGTAGTTGGTCCCTTATCGTTAACAGAGGCAGGCAATAAATTTATCGTTACCATGCAAGACGATCTAACAAAATACTCATATGCAACATCTGTACCTAATCACGAAGCAAAAACAGTCGCTGACGTACTTTTGCAATTTATTTGTATATTTGGTATACCCGAGACAATCTTAACAGATCAAGGTACAGACTTCACCTCAAATCTAATTAAAGAAGTAAATAAACTTTTTAAAATTAAACACATTTTATCTAGCCCTTATCATCCCCAAACGAACGGTAGTTTAGAAAGAAGCCACTTGACCCTAAAAGAATATTTACGACACTACATAAACGATAAAACAACTAATTGGGACGAATACGTACCCTTAGCTATGTTCACTTACAATACCCACTATCATAAATCTACTAAATTCACACCTTACGAACTACTCTTTGGTCATAAAGCTTTTATACCTAGTACTCTTACCTGTAAACCAGAATTTAAATATACTTACGATGATTATTATTCTAACTTAAAATTAAAATTAAATAGATCATTCCAACTAGCTCGAGAAAATATAATAAATGCCAAAGAAACTTCTAAAATTTATTATGATAGAAATGTTCATTCACACAATTTTAAAGTAGGCGATTTAGCATATATCCTAAATAAAAATATTACACCCGGTATTAGCAGAAAATTACAGCCAAATTATAAAGGTCCCTATAAAATCATAAACATTCATCCTAATCAAACGGTCAAAATACAAATTAGTCACAAGAAAACATCAGTCGTTCATCATAATTTATTAAAACCTTTTGTTCCAGAAGATGAAAACCCTTCTTGTTCTGACACTAATTAACATATTAACACTCCCGCCTATATCCGGTAATATCCCCTATAAAAACCAAAAATTAGATTTTAAATCAGGAATATTTTATCAAGACTTAGGTCAAGTAAAACTAACCCAAGACTATTTTACACTCTTATCATTCAATAATATAAGCATTTACGAAATGAAATTAAAATTTGCCGAAAAATCTTTTTATATCTCAAAACCCTTATGCATGCACCCTAACGATAAAAATGTAACATTCAGACATTCTGAATTTTTATGCAAAGAATCTCTAGAATTAATAGAAATTCGACTTGAAAAATTAAATAAAAAACTCGAAGCCATAAACCACCTAACAGGTCATGAACCTGATAAAATGTCACTTAGAGTAAAAAGAGGATTAATTAACGGTGTATCTTATACATTTAAATGGTTATTTGGAATCCCCGATGCAGATGATGCAGAATATTATAATGACGCAATTCATGCAGTAGTAAATCAAAATCAAGACATGCAAAAACTTTTAAAGCAACAAGTTCATATAATCTCTGAAGCGATCTCTGGTTATAATAGGTCAGCATTGACACTTAAATTTAATGAAGAAAAGTTAAACAAAAATATAAAAATATTTAATAAATTTTCAAACTCAAGCATTATTAGAATAAATTCATTAACCTACGTTCAAACAGTAATGGATCATTTAAATTTATTATCTCAAATTACCGAAGAATTAGACGAAGAATTCGATGTTATTATTTCTTCAATATTATTTTCCAAACAAAATATCTTACACCCTTCAATAATTACTCCAAAATCTTTACGCGATGAATTATTGAAAATTAATAATAAAAGAACAGATTTAGATTTTCCAATAGACCTAGATGATAATGCAAACATTTTTAAATACACGCAAATATGTTCACTCTCAGTAGTTTACACAAATAAAGTTTTAATTTATGCAATTAAGATACCACTAGTAACTAAAGATTTGTATCAACTATATAATTTGATTCCCTTACCTGTTCAATATCAAAACTCTTCAATATACTCCTATATAAACCCTTCTTTCCCTTACCTTATCCTAAGTACGACAAGAACGTATTATGGAGAGATGTCAGAATTATCGAAATGTCAGAAGATATCACCATCCGAGTACATTTGTTCTAACATCATCATACATCTAATCAAGGAAAGACCTACCTGCGAAACGACTCTGAAACTTCAAAAACCTGAAAAAATCCCATCAAACTGCGACACCAAAACCATGAAGTCAGAAATCGAAGTTTGGCATCCCCTCTCAACAAATCAATGGCTATACATCTTAACACAACCAGTCACTGGGACCATAAGCTGCGAAAATTATGGTGCTTCACAAATCACAGACGTTGTACTTCAAGGCTCCGGTATTTTTACGTTACAACCGAAATGTAAATGCTACACTACTTCCACGTTATTGACTTCAACTTCCAACCAAACGTCAAATTATACAAATTTTATACCTATGCTGGACATCAATAAAGACGATTGCTGTATCAAGGAGCAATCCTACCTTAAAAATGAAGAAATGTCTTCAATCAAACTCCACAGCCTCAACCTCAATGAACTGAGTCATGCCCAACATAAACTCCAACAGTTCGACGACGTCCTACAGAAAAATATAAACCAACCATTCATTATCAACCATTCCAAATGGTACAACATCTTCTTTGGAATAATTGGAACATTAGTAATGCTAATAATATGCTACTATGTTTGTTGCCGATGTTGTCGTTGCAGATTTCTAAACTCAATAAAGAAATATTTCAACCCCGACCAATGCCGTCACCTGGTTTGTATCAACAGCCACAATACTGTATCTGATAACCGAGTCAACCTGGATGATTTTCCACCTCACAGAAGAAGCTATCGTAGTCTCAACTCCGAAGCAGATGCAATGCCCATGGAGGACTTAGAACCTGTCTACACGGAGATGCGTAAGCCTCGTCTTTCGAAGAAATCTTTTAAAATTTAATTTCATAATTTTAGTTTTGTTTAGTTATATAATTACAACTATTTTATTTTAATTTTTATTTTATATTTTGTACACTAATTTCATAATTATAGTTTTGTTTAGGTTTTATAATAACAACAATTATATTTTAATTTTTATTTTATATATTGTACACTTTAAATTTTAATTGTATCTTTGTAGTTTACTTAGTGTTTTATAAGTTTTAGATTGTATAATTTAATTTTACCATTTAGTGTTTCAATAGGATTTTTAACCCTTATCGAAACACTTAACGGGGGAGGTTTGTTAGACCCTGTATATTTATTTGGTAACAGTTTGTTTTTCTAATGTATATTAAATAATCTTTTAGTCGTGATCTTTAGGGTTACAAAAAATAAGTCCATAAATTAAATTAATAAAAAGTTCAAATAGTTCAAGTAATTATTACGCATCATTAGATATTTCATAATTTCAAAGACAGCGCTTCTATTTTTCCATTAACTGATAAAAATTATCGCGCTGTATAAAAGCTCATTTTTAGAAACCAAAAGAACACTTACTACTTACTTCTCACTCACTTAACTTAAGATTTAACTTCTCGAATATTTAATTATTCATTTAATTATTATGTAAAACTTATTCACAATAAACGATCTTACGAGTCAAAGTGTTAGTTCTTCGTATCCCAACATAATACAGCACCGAATATGTTTTTTTGCGGCCCGGTAGAATATTTTTACTGAATTAAAAAAAAAGGAATAATTTTTATAATCATAATATTATGATTATCAGCGTCGGAAAATCATTTTTTTTTCGAAATCAGTGTAAATCCGTAAAAATTTCGTATTAAATTTGGAATAAAATTTAAAAAATAAAAAAGTCAGTTTTTCTGAAAATTTCACAATTTTTCCGGAAAAAAACGTTTTTGATTGATTAAAATCCTTTTTAATGAATTGTTTCTAGAAATAGTTGGTGTTTTAGTGGAATTAATTTAAAAGGCTCAATTTTGATTTTTTGAAAGATTTTTTTTATATTTAATAATAACTTTTATGAAAATTGAAGTAAAAAATGCAAATTTGACACAAGTTTAACTTCAACTTTGAATAAGTTTTGAACTCAAGGGTTTTTCGAAAAATGATAGAAGACATTTTTTGTAGAGCGTTCAATTCCCACAAAATATATATCGCGCATAAAAATATGTTAATTAGTTTGTGAGCTAGAAAATTACAAAAAACCAAAAAAATCCCATGTTATTTAAATGGGAAATAGAAATTCTCGATGAGCGACCTCTAAATATTAAAATTAAGAGCCCCGGTTTTCACAGGTGTCTTTTTTTAGTATCGTGATGATATTTCAGGAAAAAAAATAGTAGATTTTTTTGTACCATATATAAAAATAATAATAATAAATAATAAAATTTATAATTGAATGTAAATAATGATAATTTTCTTACTTTAACGGCAGTCTTATGTCATCCTCGGGCGAAAGATCTCCATCAGAACTCCCGGCTGTTTGAATTGTAGGTATGTTGGTTTTGGTGAGCAACGGGCTGTCTTCGCACACCTCTATACTGCCCAGTGTTGCCGCGAGAGTTTTGCCCGGATCCTCTTTGGAAGAGCTGTTGTTTAAATTGTCGTCTTCATCTTAAGAAAAAACATTTTTGAACTACTGGATAACATAGGTAATGTTAGATTACCTATTTCATCTTCAGTTTGTCCCATTTTTCTTTTAAGCGCTTGCTGGGTTTGTTTCTCTATTTCTCTTATGTCTTCCATGGTGAGACCGTGCCATTCGTCCTGCCAAGCCCAGGCTTGCCTGTGGGCCCTCAGCATCGTTTTTCTCAGCGCTAAAAGCAACAATAAGACGAAAAATATTACCGAGTATTTATTAACTATGTACCTATATCGTGAATAAACTTTTCTATTTTGGTCTGCATTCCCCAGTATCTGAACTCGACCCGGCACAGTTTGTAAGCGCACATCAGAGATTTTCCGTTGTGGGGTTGAGATTTTCCTTTCAACTCGTCCCAGTACTCCTCCAACCAATCGTTACTTAAAGGCCCCCTACCGGACTTTTCCGAAACATAGTGCAATGGGTCTTCGTCCTTGACGTAATCCGCACCGTACAACACGTCCTTTACAACGTCAATAACATCTGAAAAAAAAATAACTGCTAGGTCTGCCAATTTGAAACTGCATAGGGTAAACCACATAGTTATTGAAAACTTAAGGAATATTATTTTAGATTTTAGTGTTTTTCTTATAAATATATAAAAAGGATAGTTTCCCACTGGGAAAAATAACATTTCTACAATGTTACTGAACGTTACCCTATTCGGATTTTAGGAAGAAGTATCTTACCAACGATTCGGTTGCGTAAGTCACTGCCTTGGAGCTTGAAAACGTTTTCTTGATGCCCGTTGTCGGGAAAATAATAAGTTTCTATTTCCAGGGAGAATTTTTCCACGAAAGGGCAAGTGTACCTGGTTTTTGTGTAGGGATATGCGTTCCAGGCTTCCTCTTCAACCATCAGAGCGGTTTTGGGAAGGATACCCTTAATCCATCCTAAATAATAATAAAAAAACTTCTAAAGAGAATTTCTTCACAAAAATCTCTTTTCTTGAATAACTATGGTTAAATATAAAAATAATGAAACAAGTTAAAAATGTTTTAAATTTAGTAAAACAGTTTAAAATTATCTCTCTAAACTCCTTAAAGAAAACCAATAAACATGTATAAAAAGTGGTATGTAAAACTATGTATCACAAAATTTGTATTGATATTGATGTAGTTGGCTCTCGATAAAAGCGGTGATCTTATCACATGCTTGATTGAATGGTAAGCCAATTAATCAAGACTCTTCTGAAGTTTAAAATTGAATAACGTCATAATTTGGTAATTTTGTTAACAAGTGGTTTTTGCCGATATAATATAATGCTAAATTAAGTAAAAGATGTTTTATCATTTGTAAATTTAAAAAAAGAATTATTATATTTATATTTATAGAATGTTTGCCAATAGGAATAACTTTTTATTGTGCTTTTTTTAAATGGATTTGTAAATAAACACGATTTTAGGTACTGGGACATTGAAAATCCACATATTTTTTAAGATACTCAGTAATTCAAACAAGGAATAATTCAAGAATGTAGGGAGATAAATTTTATATTAAAAAAACTCTAAAACAAATTTACAAAAAAAATTCTTACCTGGTAGGTGACTCCCAACATGATAAATCTTTTTAGTGTACTGGCCTTGTCCTCCAGGCCCTTCTTTGTAAGGTTCATTTATTAAAATTTCTACGCCACTTCCAGCTCCACTACTTTCTTCTCGACTTTTTTTCTGCAATAAAGTAAAATAAATTGTACAATTCTGTTTTTATTATTTGCTTCATAGGGGTCCCCCCTTCACCTAAACTTGTTATATATTATGACCCCTTATATACGTTTCACTAAACTTGTGTTTTAATTTAATGAAGATGCTCATAATTCCAAGCAGCATTTTAAGTTTAAATAACTACAAATTTACTACTTTAAAGTATTTTTTACGGTTAACCAAAACGGTTTTATAACGGTATAGATGCGACAAATTACCAAATTTGGGGAATGCTTTATTTCGTTATTTTACCTACATAATAAACTTTTTGATCTACTAAGAGAATAACTTAATAAAAACAATACAAATACCACAAATTTACGTAAAAATAACGCTAATTACTAACTGTTTGCTCTCTCTTTCTAAAACATTGAAATTCGTAATTTCTTTGTTCTTTTAATTTATATTTTACAAAGTAATAAAGGCCACCCTAGAGTAAAATTAAAAAATATAACTTAAATTGTCAAAACAAATAATATTTTGCATTAAAACTCAAACGCACATTATTTTATTGATAAGGCACGATACATCTTAAAAATTATATGCCCTCTAAATATTTTACGGTTTTATAAAAAATTATTGCTTGGGTAAAAATTCAACAAAACTTAAAACCAACAAAATTTTATAAAATCTAATAAAAATCATTTAGTTTTAATCATTTTTTAATAACTAAAACTTTCCTTATTATATTTTAGAAAAATATTTATGAAAAAATATTATATTAATGTTTAGATAAGTAATGGATGCCATCTTAAAAAACTCATTATGGCGACCTGAAAAAAATTTCCCTTAAAGTTTTATTTTTTACTTTAAGCTTATTTTTCCATGTTCGTTTAATATTAATAGTATTTATTACCCTAAAAAATACCAGGCGAATAGGAATTATTTACGGTTATAAAGTAGTCTTAATATCGTAAAATTATTAGTTATGAGTAACATTTACCATTAAGTAAAAATTCTGACGTTAAAATTACCGTTAAATTTTCCTTTAGGTGAAATACACTTATAAGTAATTTTCTTTCGTAAAAAATACGTCCCTCATAATAGTTTAAAGTGTTGAAACTTAAGTGTTACTAAAATAGGTAAAAACACCCTGTATAAGTGGGTTTCAAATAGTTTCATTATTTTAATAAGACTTTAAAAAGTCATCTGTAGGATATGTTTAGTGGTTGCCTATACTAATATTAGTTTTAAATTCAAACTTGATTAAAAATAATTTAATGGAATTCCGGCAAGAACAAAATTGTAATCTGATTTCGATGTGGAGCTCCGCTAGAACGAGGTTTTCAATTTATGTACTTTTAGATTTTATCGAGTCGGAATTTAGAACGTTTGCGCTCTTAATTTTCAACAATGAAGGGTATTTAAGTGGGATAAAAATTTTGATTTTTTTTTAAATTTTCCAACGAATTTCTACCCCAAGAAAGGAAATTAATGAGGTTCCTTTGCCAAGACGTCGTTTAGTTAAAATGCTTATATTGTGTCTCGGTATTATTTCGCTATTACTTAAAATTATTCTTTCAGAAATAATGTACAAATCTTTAACAACTTTTTATTTAAAATATAAAAGCTGTATTAGGCAATGTATTTTGACGTTTTCAGTGCTACTAAGAGCTTTTTTTATTTCAGACCGTTGGCAACCCTTTTAATTTTCATGTCAACGATGTTTTCTGGTTTTGTTTATCAAAATTTTATTATAAAATACGAATAAAATCATAAGAAGTAAATGTTTCACGAGAGCGGAATATGCAATTCCAAACGTGTTTCAGACAGATTTCGACAAAATGCATTTTCAGATTATTAGAATTTTAAAAAGGAATTTTTAACATCGGTTTTAGTATTTAAATATAATGATGGTTTGTTCTACATTTAGTTGTAAAAGTTATAGTGACAAGAAAGATACTAAAATAATTTAATTGGAAGAAAGTGAGGTTGGATCGGTCTAAAATTTGTTAGATATTAAAAACAGAGATGTCGCCACGAGTGTTTATTCTGTCATCCGATGATAGAATATTTAATTCTGTAACACTTTACGGAATGTATGTCATTCCATAGATAAAAGTGATATTAGAATGGTCAAATTCCGTAATAGGAGTAGAAAAAGTATTTTTTCTACTCCTATTACGGAATTTGATCATCGGATAAATCTGTTTTAAATATATAACAAATTTTAGACCGATCCAACCTCACTTTCTTACAATTAAATTATTTTAGTATCTTTCTTGTCACTATAACTTTTACAACTAAATGTAGAACAAACCATCATTATATTTAAATACTAAAACCGATGTTAAAAATTCCTTTTTAAAATTCTAATAATCTGAAAATGCATTTTGTCGAAATCGATTTTTAATAATAAATGTTTTATTAGTTTGGCCTGATTTGACAGGACATTTATGGGAAATAATTTATTGGATCATATAACTCGTTCTGGGAAAGGGTAAATATACAAGGTTGGTCCGAAATAATGACGCTATGTTCAATTTGCTAGAACATTCAAGCGTTTTGAACAATTTTATTTAGCCCTCTGATTATAATTAAATCTCAGTGTACCCAAGTCCAGGTTTTTTCAACTAAATGGCTAAAGTAAAATATTTGAGAATTACTTTTAAGTTAAACAAAGCGTCTTGAAAAGTAAAAATAGGAAAATAAAATAAATTTTTTTAACTAAATAAATTATATAATTTTTATAACTAAAATAAATTATTTTATAAGCAGCGATCTAAAACTTAAGTCCATGTTTTAACACTTTTTTCGTAACCCTATTTAACTTTTGTTTTACCCCTGGTATAACACACTTGGTCAATATTGGGTCAAGTGTACCCAAGTAGCACAACTGGTTAAATTAACGTTAAATTTACGTTATGTCTGGTTTATTCATTTAAGTAATAATGTACTACAACGTTAAATTAACCTTAAATTAACGATATTTTGTAATAAGTGGGGAATTCAATTATGGTAAAATTAACGTTATGTTAGTTAAATGTAACTTCTTGGTTAATATACCTTTTGGTTAACAAGAAGTTAATATTTGGTAGTTTTTGGTTTATTTTACCCTTTTTTAACTACTTTTTAACTCTTAAGTTCACTTAAACTATAATGAACTGGTTTAAGTTTATTTCAACTAAATAATTATTAAATATGGTTATGTATATCTATAGATATGACTAACAGATCCTTAAAATAAAATGTCGCCCCTAAATATTAATACTCATATATGTATATATTAATTGATGTCTTAAAGAGAAAGTTCAAAGGGAAAAACCAGTTGGGCATTTTTTTTTTTTGATGAAGTAGTACATGATACTTTCATATTTTAAATGCGCTTTGAAAAAAATAAGAAATAAAGAAAATAAAAATTAAAAAAAAAATATTATTTGCTAAATTTTTCTTTATTTTGGTTGAAATTAATTTAAAATACTTTTAAACATAAAATAATATTATGTTTTATTATTGGTTTGTTTAAATTACCTTATTTTTGCAATAAAACAAATTATTAAAATTATTGGCATTTGCTTTTGTTAAAATGGACAGCAAACAATATGGCGATTTTAGTATGCTTTTACTTATTGGTTATATAACCAATATAAATTAACCTGCAAGTTTATTTAAACCATTTGGTTATTTTATTGTGTTTAATTTAACTACTTTATTTACCTATCGGTAATTTATAACTCTTTGGTTTAGGTTTAAATTTGGTTAATGTAACACATTATAGTTATTAATTACCAAAATTAGTTAAATTTAAATAACTTGTTATTTTTAAAATAACTAACCTAAAAAAATTCACGCCGATCTTACATTTTGATTTTAGTTGCAGCACTGCTTTATTAAAACGCATCTGCAGATCTATTGGTTTTATCAAAGAACATGTTCTTTGATAAAACCAATAGATGCTTACCAAATTAATTAAATGTGAGGGGATTGTTTTAAGATTTGCAGGTAAATAATGAAGAAAGTCTATATTTTTTTAAATTATTTCTTTTAGGCTCCATTATCACACAACACAGCTATATAAAGACTAATTTTTCTATGCAGGTAACATTGGGAACTGCAAAACCATCACTTTTTTAAGTTTATTAATTAACGTTAATTTACCAGCAAGTTAATATATATTTGGTAAAATACAACTTGTTGGTTAAAAAAATATATCCAAATTAACCAATGCTGTGGTTAATTTACCAAAAAGTTATATCAAAAGTTAAACTAAACCAAAATATGTCTAAAAAAATAACTACTTTTAACTATTTTAAATGGTTAAAATAAGCAGTTAATATAACAATATCTAACTTCTAAAATAACCTACCTTTTATCTTATAAGTAATATTACCAACTAGTTAAATATTTGGTTTATTTATAGTCAATTTAAACTCTTTAAAAAACTTTAATTTACTTAAAGGTAAATTTAGGTTATTTCAAGAGTTTCAATTGACTATAAATAAACCAAATAATTAACTAGTTAGTAACATTACCAATAGGTTTCTTTTATTAGATAAATTATACTAAAAAATAACCTTTAAATTTACCTTAAGGTTATCGCAACCGGTTGGTAAATTTAAAGGGTTATTTTTTAATTCTTAGTAACCTTAAAAAAATGTTAATGGTTAAATACAACTAATTGGTTAAAAAACAAGTTTAAAAAAACGTTATTTTACTTAGATTTTGGTTAATTTACTTAGAATGCTAGTTATTTAACTAGTTGTGCTACTTGGGTACCTACCTACACATAATTTGCTTCGCATTAGAGTAATTACATTTTATGTTGCTTACTTTAAAAGTTATTGGGTTGTATTGATTATGGATTTAATCAAAAATTTCTGTATGGAAACGTTATTAGAGCGTTATTATCTTTATAGGGCAAAAAGTCCTGGAACGTAGAAGCTTTCCTTTATAAGCCAAGATTAAAGCTTTTTATGTTAAATAAAGAAAACTTTTAATTTGTTGTTCCTAATATTTTTGAGGTTAAACAAATTTGAGGAGTATTTATAATGTGGTGATTAATTGCAGAAAAAGTTTACCAAAAAAAAATCATGTTATTATTTGTTCAAAACCGCTACGAGACTTACCGCTATCATGTAAAGCTGCGCGATCCTGTACTCCTCTACCGTAAGGGGCAGAGGAATGCGGTACTCCTTGATGAGCATGTCTGCCGAGGACCACTACCCCCCTGCTCTATGTAATTAGACCTAGGCACCAGCAGCTCCTCTTCCACATCCTCCTACTACTGCAACAAAAAAAATATATATTTAGCACAGAGCTGCAAGCTATCAGAAAACTTAAATCGTTTTTTTGATTTAAATCTTTTTAATGACTTAAGTTATTTGGTAATAAGTCATTTCTCTAAAACTGACTTAAGACTTAAAATTTAAGTAATTTTCAAAATGATTTGTGACTTAAATATTTTTTTCAAAATAGAAAAAACTTAAGTCATTAATAAAAGGCTTAAGTCAGATAAAAACGATTTAAGTCAAAAAAAGATTTAAGTCTTTTTAGAAAATATTTAAGTCAGATTTTTCATAGATTTTTTTTATAAATTTTTTACAGCGGCATTTTCTTGAACTGCCAGGGGTTCGCGCGGCAGCAGATCAAAAACTCCTTTAATTTCCTACCTACAATTGCCACGGCTACATTAAAAAATGTCCTGTCTAAAATGAATTAAAAAAAATGCGGATTTATAATTTTGTTAATTTGTTTGCCAACATTCGTCGTGTTCGTGCGAAGTTAGGTCTAATTTGTGATTATTAGTGGAAACAAACGATTAACTTGTAAGGACGAATAAATATTATAAAGACGTGTTTACATCATACAGGGTGTTTCGGTTTGTTTAAGTAAATAATTACGACAAAAAAACGTGATTGTGCGTGAATAAAATTATTCAAACGTGATTGTGCGTGAACGTGAGTAGTCTTGAATTATTACAGTCGTGAGCAGTTGTACATCTTGACTCAAGATTCTTGAGCGGTCGTGAATCCAGAGTTTGGAACTTCCCATCATTACTTCATTAATGGAGGAATATTTTTTGTTCTAGATGGATGTTGAACCAGCTAACAAAAGTTAACAAAACAACAAGTTATCAGTTTTTGAAATACAGCGATTTTAAGAAAAATGCTTCAACTTTTATCTATTTTAAGAGAGTTTGAATCTATTACCGTTTAGAAGTTACCCATTTATGTATATAAAAAAGTAGCATCCCTGTATGTCTACTCTACTGAAAAAGGTGGTTTAAGTTTTTATTTTTATTGTCTACTATATACTCAAAAAATGTGTTTTAAGTTTTTATTTTATTTTTAAGTTTGAAAATAAATCGTTTTAAATTCTTAACATAGTGGTTTATTATCATCTGTATCTACAATAGATTAATAATATCAGTATCATTAATACCATAAAATTATTATTAACATTTAAAAAATCGTTGTATTGACTTAAGGGTAATTATTTTGATTTAAATCACAATTTTTGATTCAAGTCATTTTATTGACTTAACTCTGTCACGATTTAAATAAAAAAAATATAGACTTAAGTCATAAAAACGACCAGGGGCGTGCTGGGCCGCCGGGACACCGGGCGAATGCCCGGTGGCCTGCACCACTTGGTGGCCTGCTGGACTGCTTATCTTCCCTTTTAAAATGACAAATTTTAACAAAGCTTGGGCATAATTAATCATTAATTATTAATGTACACTACCAACAACGAAATTATACATTAAAGAACATTGAATTTGACAATCTAGCTTTATTACAATTTATATATATAGTAAATTTTATTCAAAATTTCATTGACACATGCAAATATTGTTTAAAAACATATGCGTTTGCTTTAAAACTGTTAAATCTTATATTTAAAAACATTTGCGTTTACTTTCGAACTTAAAACGACTATTTTTAATTCTTATATGCCTGCATTTAATTATTTAACTACTACCTATTTCGGGGATTTTAAATTAACGCGGCAAATACCTAAATCAAAGATTGCTCACGTGGTGCGCAAAGCAGTTGATTTTTGTTCGCATTCTAAAGAGATTGACCTTTTTTTGTAAAGATTGTGGGTATAATATTTAAAAAACAAATCTATAACCGCGTTTCAAATCGGGTATGTGCCTTTAGTGTTCGGTTATAATTATAATATTATAATAATTAATGTCATTAAAATTTATAAAAAATCGTTTAAGAAGTACACTTACTGACGCAAATTTGGAAGCTTTCATGCTTATGGCTGTGGAAAAAAAATTGCTAAATGACTTAAACAGTGACATAATAATTGATAAACTACCTGAAAAAAGTTCCTTGTTGCGAAGAGAGTTATCTCGGGACGTTTTATCAGCCGAGGTGTCATCGTACCCAGGCAGGGGCGTACCGAGGCACACTTTTTTGGGGGGGTGGAGACGATAAAAAAACCAACTTATTTTTTTATCGATACTTTAGTAGTTTTCAGTAGTTTTATCATGAATGTAAAGTGTTGTCATGAATGTAAAGTGTTGTAAAGTGTAGATAAAGAATGTCTTTACCTACCATTAGCATGCTCTTTTGAAGTCTCTATTTTTTTTATTTGCTACCAATGTAAGTGGATTATCCGGAACAGTAACAATTTTAATTTTAACCAAATTTCCACCGTGAATATTTTTCTCGTGCATTTTTTTCTAGTCCTTGTTAAACACAGATCCACATAATAAGCATTTTACTAGAACTCGGCCCGGTCTAGCTTTCTTTTCCATATTAAAAAAAAATTAATTCCTATTTATTGACACTAGTTTTACTTGGCTTAGATAAGCTTCAACTAATTAATAATTTAGAAAAATAAGACGCCGAAAATTGCGGTGCGTAAAAAGAGTCAAACGCCGCAAAAACCAAAGACAAAGCCGCGAGGCGGTGCCGACTTTGTACTTGCCGCTTGTGTGAAATATAATGTCCTTTAATAAAAATAAGGTTGATCAATACAATTTTATGAACGGTAACGATTATAGGAGGTTACAATAGATTAAAAGTTATAATTTTGTAATATGTAGGTAAAGTTTAAAAATTATATTTCATTTTATTTATTGTGATGGGTTGGTTGGTAGGGTAGGTATACCCAACCAACCGACCCAAATACTATAGATTTTGCCAACCTTGTTTGGATTTGGAACCAACTGCCAAGAGTTTGGGGGGGTGACTCCCCCCCTACACCCCCCTTAGGCCCGGCAATGTACCCAGGTAGCACACTGACGTCTTCTGACGTTTAAATGACGTCAGATGACGTCATTTAAACGTCAGCAGACGTCAGTATGCTACCTGGGCACGGTCTTATATAAGACCGTGTACCTGGGTAATATCTAATCTTGTAAGTATTTTTTATAATATTACTTTTACTATATATGTAGGAGAATGTGGTTTTATTTTATAGGTATTACATTTTTTACTAGCTATAGGAAGTATATGAAACTGGCTTGAGTCTGGACTGCTCTACTATCCAGTCCAGGCCTGCATTGGACTGCCAGCACGCCCCTGAAAACGACTTACTAAAGGAATTAAGTCATAAGAAGATTTAAATCATTTTAATTTGATTTAAGAATTTGCGAAAATGACTTGACTTGAAAGAAAATGATTTAATTCAAAGACTTAATACTTAAATCATTTGAACTTTATCTTAGAATTGACTTAAGATTTAAATCATTTTGATTTTAGAATTGACTTAAGACTTAAGATTTAAGTCTTTTTAAAACTGACTTGTTGCAGCTCTTTTAGCACCCACTTGAGCAATGATTTTTTTTTCGTGGCCAAAAACTAATAACACTAAAATTTAATAAAACACACGATGTGTGCGGTATAGTACCACACTTTGAAAGATGAATGGGGAACGCAGCCTTATGACGTCAAAAAATTGAGGTTATGTTTCTGTAAAGCTGTCGTTTTTGCCATCTGTCATTTATTGACATTTGTCATCTGCTATTTTTGATAAAATTAAAACACATTTCATGAAATATTGCTGATCTTTTCATTTTAATCGTACTTAATGTCAACACGACAGATGTTAAAAAATGAGACATGTCAAAAATGAGACATGTCAAAAATGAGACATGTCAAAAATGCCACATGTCAAGCATGACAGATGTCAATAAATGAAAATTGATAGATGTAAAAAATTCCAGGTGTCATTTTTGACAGTCATCTGTCATTTTTAAAATATATCATTTTGACATCTCTTGTTTTTGACATCTGTCGTTTTTGGCAACTAATTTTGACAGATGTCAAAAAATGACGCATGTAAAAAAATGACAGATGTCAAAAATGACAATGTCAAGAAATGACAGTTGATAAATGTAAAAAATCCATTTTGACAGATATCATCTGTCATTTTTGAAATGTCATTTCGACATCTATTATTTTCAAACAAATAAGTAAAAATGAGAGATGTCAAAAATGCCAGATGTCAAACATGACAGATGTCAAACATGACAATGTCAATAAATGAAATTTGATAGATGTAAAAAATTCCAGGTGTCATTTTTGACAGTCATCTGTCATTTTTAAAATATATCATTTTGACATATGTCGTTTTTGGCAACTAATTTTGACAGATGTCAAAAAATGGCGCATGTCAAAAATGACAATGTCAAGAAATGACAGTTGATAAATGTAAAAAAATCCATTTTGACAGATATCATCTGTCATTTTTGAAATGTCATTTCGACATCTGTTATTTTCAAACAAATAAGTAAAAATGAGAGATGTCAAAAATGCCACATGTCAAACATGACAGATGTTAAACATGACAATGTCAATAAATGAAAATTGATAGATGTAAAAAATTCCAGGTGTCATTTTTGACAGTCATCTGTTATTTTTAAAATATATCATTTTGACATCTCTTGTTTTTAACATCTGTCGTTTTTGGCAACTAATTTTGACAGATGTCAAAAAATGACGCATGTAAAAAAATGACAGATTAATATAATTGATAAATGTAAAAAAATCCGTTTTGACAGATATCATCTGTTATTTTAGAAATGTCATTTCGACATCTGTTATTTTTGACATTTGTCATTTTGACAAAGCTTCAAAATTCCAAAACGACAATTTCTTTTTCTATGCGTCATTTTATTAAGCAAAAATTTAATGCAAACATGACAACATTGCAATTGCTGCCAACTAAAGTTGTTTAAAATGCATTACAATATTCAATTACAGACTTCGTTTTATACATTTAGTGTTGGTACCAGTGCGCAAATGATATCTTTCGATTGGGCTC